ATAAGTTTTTTGTGTTCTGCAGAAATAGACGATCTGGATTATCTTAATAAATTACCATGTTTATAGTATGAATCTCCTGAGCTGCTGTAAACTTGTGCTGATTTTTGTTTTGTCTTGTGTTTTCACTCCCAAGAGGGATGGTTTGTTGACTGCTTTTTTAAGGAGTGTTGCCTGTATTTGGGCAGAACAGCTGTTAGCATTCATTTGTTGGCCAACAGGCAAGTCCCAGGTGACACTTCCAAACCAAATCTTGGTCTGTTTCACTTGGGACTTCACAGTTCTGTGGCAACTGGAAGAGATAATGCTCAGTTGTGTTGTAGCTATTCTGCAACTCAAGTGTTGGTCAAATCGTGCTCTGCTAGTAACATTCGATGGCCAGGAATATGTGAAGCTTTTGATTGTAAAAGTTCTCTGTGTGTTACCAAATCTGTAACTTCTCTTTCTATGACAGCTGAAGCAAAGGCTGCCGAAGCTGCTGCCAGTGCTTACTACAGCCCGGTCAACCCACATAATGTCTATATGCCCACGGTAGGTTCCTGTTTGCAGTGTGAGCCCAAGTGTGTGTTTAGCAGTTCTTTTTCTCAGTGGCACAGCAAATGGTTGGACTAGATGATCTTCAAGGTTTTTTCCAACCTAGATGATTCTGTGAAAATTTGTCTGGCTTGATTTTGGTGGTTTGTTTTGTGGGGTTTGGGGTTTTTTTTAGCCATGGATTGATGTTCTTTTTTGGTCTTTATTTCAGGACCAACCACCCCCTCCTCCATACTTCCCACCAGAGGACAAGAAAAACCAATAAACTAACATGGCACTTCCCCACAACTCATTGCTTTCTTACTTCCCATTTTGGCAGAATCTTGGGGCATGGTCCATAGTGCTGAGGAGTAGAGCCTTCCCCCAGGGCACAGAGCTGTCTTGGACTCTGATGGTAGATACGTGCAGAGCAAGGGGAGAGATTTCGGCAGCCTGGGTTACCTCGTAGACCTCTGAGGGTTTACTGTCCTACCGCAGTATTCCCTTCTCCCTGTGCATGGCATCGCTAGAACTGGAGGTTCTCTTCACCTGTGATTGTTTCCCTTATATCTTTTTCTTTTGATACTTAATTTATACCTCTTAGAATAAGCAGCTGCTTCAAACTGATGATTAACTGCTCATGACGTGGAAACAAGGCTCTTGGTGGGGTGGGGGGTGTCTTGAATTTACCTTAGTGTGCAGCCAAGAGCATCTCTGGACACAGGGATGTCTGAGTGTTCCTCTCAACCCAGAGTATTGCTTCCAGCTTTTTTCTCTGCTACTGAGAAAGGGCTTCAAAGGAACCTCTGGGATCTCAAAGGAAATAGATATCTGTTACATTTTTCAGATACCTGTTAAACTTTCTTGGGTTTTTTAGCTGTCATTCCTGACAATCATAGCAGTCTGGTAGCCCTCCAAATTTTCCTGCTGTGCACTGTGTATGATGATGCTGATGAGCTTCCCCTCTTAAGAAAACATACTACTCTTTACAGGGTTGATTAGTAGCATCTAACTTGTTATCATATGGGAACACTAATTTTCTGTTGTCTTTTTTCCAGTTAAATATGTGGGCTTGAGATTGTTAAATCCTCAATATTCTCTTCATAATGCACTTTTTTCTTTGCTGTAACACAAGTTACACTTTTCGGCCAGTGAAGCATCTTATTGCTGTGATTTAACTGGTGAATTAATAGCTAATGGGGAGAAAGTAGTTGCTTTACTTCTGCCCTGGAAGCACTTGAGAGAATATGCAAACTGTTGGAATAAGCTGTTGGGTACAACTGAGCTGCTCATTTGAATGTTGTTTAATGCTGTTAGTGTTACTGGATCAGCTGTGAATTTAATTCCCAGTAATTTGAACATGAGCTCCTTGAACTGAGGGTTCAGGCATTTCCTTTCCGTAGCATTGATTCATCGATCTCACTAGCAACGACTCCAGTATGCAGAACTTCTGCAGGACTGATCAGAATCCAGGTTGTAGAACTTTGCATTGTACAAAGCTTTGCGCAAATCAGACTTCACTGACTTCTGACAGCTGTGAGAGAAAATCTGTCCCAGCAAGTGTGAAGAAAGATCATGTGCTAGGAAACTGCTGAGACTTGCTGCATGCAACCTGCTTGGAGAGAAAAAAGGTCCACCTCTTGTTTTCTTTTTGTTTGAGTCTAGCTGATTAATCAAATTGCTACTGTCTGTGCACTGACTTTTCTAGAATTGCTACTGCAGTGATGTAAAGAAATGGTTATTTTAAAAAAAAATATTTATTTTGAAAATGTTTGATTAATATATTAATGTGAAATGACTTTTGAATGCAGATTTGTTTTGCCAAGACTGTGAAGTAAAGAGAATTCAGCTCAAAAGTTAAAGTGTTTGTGCATTTCCATGTGTGTGAGTGGGCAAACTTGGTGACTTGGTAGCATTGGATGGAGAGAGGGAGAATTAAACAGCAAAGTAACTTGGATTTTGTTGCTGGCTCCTCACTGGTGATATTAGTTGATTGATTTCTCTCGCCTGACTTTGCTGGATGAAAATAAGACATTAAAATCCGTGTAAAAGCTGCAAGAAGTAGTTGAGGGATGCAGCATAGTTGTTGCCTCTATGTCTCTAATTAGAAGCAATCTATAAACTTATCCTGCGTGTGTGTGCAGAGGTGCCTGGGTAGTTCTGCTGAGGGAGGTCTGAGCCCCCTGAGTGGTGGTGGCCGGCAGTGCCAGACCCTTCCTCCCAGCACACTGAGGGGTGTCAGGGCAGGAGGGGGGACGTTCCCCATGGGGTCTGATCCTGGGGCTGCTGAGATCAGGCAAGTCCCTCCGGTTTGAGCTGACGTGTCAAGCAGAAGTTGCTCAGAAGCTGCTCTACAGGTACCATCCAAACCTTGCCTAGCTTCATTCCTCTTCCTAGCTGCCACGAGCTGCCTTAGTTCTCCTGAACTCCCCGACCAACTGGGGTGGACATTTTCCAGCTTCTGCTCTCCTCCTACATCACTTTTGACTCTCACGTCCTCCCACATGGCTGTTTTACTGCATTTTAAGGCTGGCTGAGCCACTTTTTTTTTTTTTTTTCCTGTAGCAAGAAGTGGGTGGGGAAGGAAAGCATTGAGAGAAAAAACGTTACAGCCCAATAGGAACCTAATAAATCCTGTTTTGTGAATTAAATTACTTCAAATTGAGGTTTTCTGAATCACATCACTCCAACTGTAAGATACTGCAGATACATCTCTGTACTCTGTTCTGCTTTAAAATGGCTCCCTCCCAGCTACCCTCTCCTCCCAGGCAGATAATCCTAGAAAATAAAGATTGCATGAAGTTTCCAGGTCTCTTGCCCAGCACCACTCACCATGCAGTTCTCATGCCAACAATCAGTACAAACCCATGAGGATTTTTTAACTAAGTGTGTGTGTGTGTGAGGAAAAAGCATTTAGCTATCTGCTCTGATGAGAACTTGGCTCCGTGGTTCAAGCTGACTGTCTCTTCCACTAATGTGGACAAGTGGTAAGATCTGCAGAGAGGCCATGAGGTTTGCTGCCTGGAAAAAGGAAAATATGTTGAGCGGATGAGTCAGGCTGGAATAAATGAAATATTCCTCTCCTCAAGTTGGGCATTAGTGAGCTAAATCAGCAGCTTTTGAGCTGTGCACTTTTTTCAATGGTTTGTCGGTGAATGTTCCCGTTCCTCCAGGCTAGAGCTTGGCATGGTCCGTGGGGTGGTGAGGAGCAAGCCAAAACAGATTGATCATGGTCTTCTCAGTGTGTTTGGAGTGTGCTGATGAGTGGTGAAGCACATTCTAGGAGTGCTGGAGCTGTGGGGCCAAAAGGCCGGGCAAGACACCCAGTCAGCAAGGCTCCTGCAGGTATTTGGTTGAGTGGAGCAGCATAATTCAGAGGAGTGCAGATTTTGGCTGGTGAGAATCCCTGCCTTGGTTGTTAAAACCTGTAAACCCAGGTTTGGCTTAGATATTCAGGACTTGCTGCCGTCTCCCTGATGAGAAACTGGAGCTGTACTCTGCTTTGGAAAGGACTTAGAGGGGGTGGAAGGGTCAGCCGGTCCTGCTGCCCACGAAGATTTTAAATATTAAAGCAGGGAAGTGCAATTGAAAGTCTGCTTCTGCTCTGGAAGGAATAGGGCAGGAGGAAATGTGCATTAATACCTCTCCAGATCTGGTCCCTGCTTGAATGATTAATCAGCTACGCAGCAGAAAGGCTGTCATGTGAAAGCTAGATCAGCACCATTAACTTCCAATATTTGGATGGTTTTACACCACTGAAGGAAAAGAGAGGGCATAGGGAACAGTTAGTGTTGGATCCAGTTAATTTTTTGGCATAGACAGATTGTCTGCCACCATGTACAGTTCTGTCTCCCTGATGTGACTTAAGTTTTGCATTTGTAAAGTCACCCACTGCACCCTGTGCCTGCTTCCCCACCCGGAATACACGGCTATTTCCCTCCTTCAAGAGTGTGGCGTAACTAGGTATTTCTAAAGTGCTTTGAGATCTTATGCAAAAAACTGTTACTGCAGGAGTTGCAGGTACTACTTACAGGTTTTCTACTATCGGCTTTGAAATCTTGCTGATATCCCTGGGGGTTGGGGAAGGTCTTCACCGTGGAAGGACAGGGCGTGTGAGTGCTTGCCCAGGATTGCCTCCAGCAGAAGGAAGACACCAAGCCCTCCTCCTCCTCCACACCATTCTGCCCTGATTTTACCTAGAGCAATCCTGCTTTGTGTGACATACTACCAAAAAGAAAAAAATTTAAACCAAATCATTATTTTGCATTAATTTCTTTGTAGCTGGGGGGATGCGCTGAGCAGTCATAGGGACTGCGCCTGCCTGCCCCGTGTACGTGTCTTCCTTTGGGGACGGCGAGGGCTCCCCACTGCTCTCCGAGCAGTAGATGGTCAAATTGCATCTCTGCCACGTGATGGACACTGTGATTTATGAGCTTGCACGCTGGCTCCCTTCACAAGCGCCGCTGGAGGTGGCAGGAGGCGTGGGGTGAAGTTCGGACCCAGCTGTTCCCCAGCAGCCGGAGCAGGGCCAGCCCTGGCCAGCGAGTGGCTCACCTCGGCCGATGCACTCACACTGCAGACACCTCCAGCCGTAAGCAACTGCCAGGTTGGTATTAGAAGCTGGGTTTTGCTAAGATGGGCTGTGATCAAGAGGTAGTTTCAGGTTTAAAGCTGTACAAGTAAGCCCAAGTGACAAAGTGGTTTTTTTGTAGGCTGGTATGAAATACTGGGACATGCAGGGCACAGATCTTTATTTTAGGCAAGGGGTTTCTTTGCAGCCACACCGGGTATTACTCACCCGTCTGCTCTCCTATGTGAGTCAGCTCAAAGAGCTGCCGTCATGAGACTGAACTGGAAACTGGTATTTCAGCACCCTCCTTGCTCACGGGCCATCGCTGTGCCACTGGGAGAGGCCACAACGGGATATGAAGAGACCCACGTAGCAGTGAGCAGGAGTGGGGACTCGTACCTGCCGACGGGGGATGCTGGATCTCACACCTCAGGGTGCAAACGGACCAAGATCCATCTCTGCTGCATCCTCCAGCAACCCGCCTGCGATTTCCTACGCACTTCCTTCAGTGTCCGGATACTGGAGCAAAAGGTATCAGCTTGGACTCCATGCATAAGCTCAGTTCAGCAAATCCCAACTTTCTAAACCTTTCATTTCCCTTGCTCAGTTTCAGTCTCTTCTCCTCCTCCATGTACTTTGCTCCATAAGGGCTGGGCTCTGCTTGGGACATGGTGTCCCTCCCCACGACAATATCAGCTGCAATAGTATTCAGTGTTTTGGTATGTTGGTCTGGGATCTGGGGGCAGTGGGGGTGGGGGGTGTCAGTGCTGCAGCTTTCTCCCACCGTCCAAGTGTGTGGCTCCATGGGGCTTGGTGGGCTCGTCAGGGGACTCTGACACACGTGTGGGGAGAGGTGGAGGCAGAAAAAACAGGGAGGGACCATTTTGGTGCTGAAGCTGGTTAATAATTTGGCATGTGCACTCCAGGATAGGCACGAAGGTGCTTAATATGAACCATGGGGCATGTCTGGTACCCAGGTGTCAGCCCCAAGTTCTTTCACCTTCACAAGCATCTACCCTGGTCCCTCCCTGGCTCACACATGTGCTGAAGGCCATGCTGCTCTGGACTCAGTGCCCCAAATCAGCAGATGAAATGGCCTTGACATTTGTGCCCCCCCTTTCTTGTCCCTGCAGTGAGAGCAGCCGCTGTCCCAACCCTGCTGAAAAGGGATGATAAATCCAGTGTCTGACACTGAATTCATCTCACCGGGAGAGGGAGGTGGATGAAATATTTGCTGTATACACATAGCACATGGCAGTGATGGAGAAAATGGTTTAAATCTGTCACAGGGTGCCCCAAGCCAAACAAATGGCATCCAGGTTAATACATGAAGTTTTTTGATCTTCCAAAGGACAAGCCTGGGGGGACTATGCTCTCCCCCTGCCCTGTGCCTGCACGCGGGCAGCCAGACGCAGCATTTGAGTGTAGGGATGGCATCCGGACAGGTCAGCCCTGTGCTCTGGGCCCCAGGGGGACGGCAGGGAAGCGGGGTCAGACACACCGTCCTTTCCCCTTTGAGACCCAGCCAGCTCCCTGGGGAGCTGGAGCAGCTCCACGCAGCGGCGGGCAGAGCTTGGCATCACAGTGGTGCTTCCTTGGGAGGGGCTGGGGCTGGGCGGTGAGGACCCCCCAGGGTGACCGAGGTGCTGACTGCCTCGTGGGTAGCATGGCCGGAGTCATCCTCACACGATCTTGCACCAAACCCGTGCTCCTGCTCGGGCTCCCGGGGGAAACGCAGCTTTCACAACGCCACGTAGGTGGCTGGAAGTCCCCTCTGCTCCTCCCAGAAGGACAGGGTTTGCCTTCTAAGATACCCCAAGTGGGGTAGGGGGTGCTGTGTGTCCCCCGCATCCTTCCCAGGTACCACTGCTTTTTGCTAGGCGCACTCAAAGCACTCAGGAGAGCCTGTGGAAGAAAAGATGTAGGTTTAGGGCAGAAATAACTAGCAGGCCCTGTAGCTGACAAGGAAGTGAACTGATCAACATCCCTCCTGGGTATCAAATCGCTGGTCCCAGAGCATGCAGCACCCGCAGGTCCCTGGGGGGGTGCCCTGGCTGAGCACAACTGTCCCTGAGCTCGTTTTGAAATCACCTTCATCTCCTCTGCACTGTGTTTTCACTGTATGCCTTGCCAAACTCTGGCAGGCACAGCCTGGTTTTGCAGAGTCATTGGACCCCGTGTTTAAAAGGAGAAGTAGGGAGGGACATGTTGAAATCAATTTTTTTACTATTTGCCAGTTCCCAGATGCGAGATTGAGATAAGAGTGAGGACAGGCTGCGGCTCCAGGATTATCAAACTGAGAGGTAGGGAGATAAACTGCTGTTAATGCTTGTAGAGGGTTCTTCCATACCAGGTTTTCCTTTAAAAAGAAGATGATACCCTTTAAAGAGGGCGATAATGCTTGTTCTTTGAGAGAGGTTTATCAGCAGCACCTATAACCCTGTGCACAAGGGAAAGGGTTTTCCTTTCAGATGAGTTGTTCTTAAAAGGGATGGAAGTGTTCACTCTATATCGTGCATATATATGGTACATGCCCCTGGCTAAACTCATGTTGTGAAGAGGTAGAGCTATTTTAGGGAATGCTGAGGTTCAAATACCACAAGATGTGTGAGCTCAGTGATTTTTGTGATTGGTATTTTGTGGAGCAGGTGGCTGCTGGTAAAACCCAGGGGAAAAAAAGGCTATTTGCTCTTAATGAAGCAGGATCACGAGATAACTCTCCCTTTGCACACACAGAGGCTCAAAACCATGCACAGAGACCTTCCACAAAGATCATCTTGGCCTCTGATGGGAGACACGTGCTGCCCACCCTGCCGGGCTCTGCCTGAGCATTTCCAGCCACAAACGATGCAGCGATCAGCTGGGGAACTTACAGGGAAAGTGCTATTTAACAGACACTTCCATACTGAAGGTGAACTTCTTTCTAAAACCTGCAAAACCCCAGCACAGCCACCGCCTCCTGGCTGGAGAATGATTGCGTGATGCTTAGCAATATTTATGATTGCAGTGGATTTTATTTCTTTGGTGTTACAAGGAGAAGGGAGGTGGATTTGAGATTTAACTCAACTCTTAGCAGTTGTTCCCTCTGTGCTGGTTAAGCAAAGAGGCATTTCTTTGACCTCTGTTATTTTTTGTTGGCAAGACGCAGTGAGCGGCTCGGGGATGCTGAGTTTGCGTCCTGCCTTTATCTCAGTGGTTGTTCTTTGCTAGGCCAGATTGTGCTTTTGCAATCAAAGCTAAAAGCAAAGATGAGAGCAATCACTGTCAAATGCCATTGTGCATTTTACATCTCTACTTTCCACTGACAACATTTTGCAGTGGAGCACGGTGCTATTGTCCCAAATCAATAAACAGCATTTGTGTGTGTCGAGGGAGAGGGATGCAGAATAGAAATCGGCTCCTCTGCCATGTCTCCCTCCATCGGCAAGGGAGGGAGGGTGCTTTTAAACTCTTTGCCCAAGGTGAAACAAATGCTAGGCTGGTTAAAGTCAAGGTTGACAGGGCTGGGTGAGCACCTCTGAGCATCTCTGCCAGTAAAGGAGGGGATGGGCACCCTCACCAGTCATGGGGCAAGGAGCTACCTCTGCTGCCAAACTGGGAAGCACAGAGAAAGTGATACCGCAGCCCTGTTCCTTGGGGCTACTGCGCTGGTGCCTGGGGACAGTTACAAAAGAGCCCTCCTGACATGGGAGAGAGCAGAAGTGTAACGAGCAGCTTTTGTCAGACCTCAGAGGATGGGGCTGAACAATCGCTGTGAGAGCAGAGATGGATTTCAGTTTTTCAGTGCCTCCTTGTAGCTCTGGATTTTTATTCTGTAGATTAGCTCAGCATCCCCCCCCGGCCCCTCCCCGTCTCTGGGAACTCACTGTGTGTGTGCTGTGCAGCCCCTCAGAACCCCGGTCCTGTGCTGGCTGACCTGGATAACGAAAACCACTGTAAACACCACCAGCCCTTTTTCCACCTCATGGTTCCCCAGCACCAGTGAACCCCTTTTGCTCCTACAGTGTTTCAGGGCAAAGGGAAGTTGTATCTCTCTTAAAGCAGCTAAAACAGTGCAACCTGCCTTAATTAAAGGACTAGATGATTGCAAGGATGGAAGGGACTGGCTGCCTGCCTCTCTCCCCATGCTCTCACAGAGATGCTGTTGCCAGCATCCTCCCACAGCTCTCTGCAGCCCTGGTTCGGGCCAGCATGTGGCGGGGTACCTCTGTGCTATTGGAGTCAGCTCTTCCCAGTGTCTCGCAGGGTAGTTAAGGGCACAAACTTTCCTGTGCAGTTTCCATGGTCATGGTTTCCTGTTTGGATTAATCAGAAATCCCTGACAGGCTGCACTGAACCTGATGTAGTGCCTCTGCTCTCGTGTTGTATCTGAATCATCTTTGTTTACGGCTTCCAGGAGTGTCTGGGGGCTGGAAAGAGGAAGACTGGAAAGACAAAAACTCCCCTTGATGGAGAGCGCAGCATCAGCCATGGTCCCAGTCCTGCTTCACCTGTGGGTCCTCAGCAGCCCCAGCAGTGACATGCGGGTCTTGAGCACAGGCTGATGTCCTTCCCTGGGCTGTGGGTCTGTCTGCTGAGCATCAGATGCTTGTGCAGCTCAGCAGCCCCCTCCGAGCCCGAGGGCACTCTTAGGTGCACATATAAGTACATTAGACATCCAGCAGCGACCCAGCTCGTCCCTCAGCCCTCTCCTGTGGCTCTTCCCGATGCCCACCTGTGCCTTTCCTCCCTCCCTCTTTGCCATCAGCTCAGGCGTTTTGATAGGGATCTTCGAGGGGAGGGCGCTGCTGCTGGTCTGTGATAGGCAACTGCCTTGACAGTTGCAATCAGATAAAGTGTTTACAAGAATGAAAGCTGACAGCAAAGCACAAGTTTTTAACTCCATTTCCTGCTGCTTTTTTTCTCAGTAACCAGCTCTGCCTGGACAGACTGTTTGGGAAAAAGGCCCCACACCCTTTCCCAGTGCCATCCCCAGCACTTGCGCTGCCTGCATCAGTTCTCGGCCCAACCTTGTCCAACGTGCTGGGGTGCTGCAGGGATTTCCCACCCTGCAGCTTTTGCACTGGTTTTCATATCCCCTCCATACCCCGGGGCTGAAAGTGACTTCTGCAGAGTCTCCGTCTGCGCTCGCATGGCACGATGGATCCCAGATACACATCAGAGCCCATATCCTCCATGCTGCCCCCACCCATCCTTCCCATCACCCTTTTCCCTGCTGGGCTTTGCCTTCTCAGGTCTGTTTCTGACCACTTGTTCCCAATTCCTTGCTCATAAATAATAGCAGGGACTGGATGTGACACTTTTCTTTTGTCCCCATCCAGTCTGTGCCATGAAGTTCCCATGGTTGAGGGGCTGCTTGCGCAGGACAGGGTGGTGGGAAGCAGGGCCATGGCGCCTGCGTTCCCATCTTGCTCTTGAAGGAGGCCTGCACATGTTTCCGCTTGTTAAAATGGTCACGGTGAGATAAGGTCTGTGGTTTCCTTTGAACACGTGAGTGAGGGGAAGAGGCGGCAGCAGCAGGCAGAGCTGCAGTCGCTCCCCTGCCCCACGCTGAGCCTCTCCCCGAGATGGATGCTGCTGGTGAGACCCCCATGGGGACTCTCCCTGGGGAGGAGAGCCCCGAGGTAGGTGGCCTTCATCTTGGGGGGCTGGAGAGTGGTTTTGGGACTGGGGAGGGTGTTTGGACTGTGAAGGCCCCAAGGAGGGGGTCAGGCTGGCTGTGCCCAGGGGACCCCAGGGTGCAGAGCTGGGTGCTGAGGCTGTAAAAGGGGAATGAGAGAAACATGGCCCAGCCAGGATGCTTGGCAAGGGCAAGCAAGGCATGGGGGTGGGGATGTGGGGCTACAACACCCATGCAAACATGCACCTGAGGGCTGTGTAACGGGATCGGCTGCAGCTCTGTGCTGGCACTGAGGGTTCCCTCTTAGCTCGGCTACAGCTTCTCAGCATCAAACAGCCCCTCTGGGCTCCCCGCTGCCAGCAGATCTCCCGAAGTCCTGCTCTTGGCCAGCCCAACCCAACTGACTTCCTCTGCAGTGGCCGGACAGACGGTGTCCCTGTGTGTGCCCCCGTGGAGATGGGACTCACAGCTCTGCATGCTCAGCCTGGTGCTGCTGGGAGCATGTGGGCATGATTCCCCGTGCTGGACTCCCAGCATGAGTCCTCCCCAGGACTTGTCCTCCTTCCCAAGTGTCACCATCTCTGCAGCCAAGCTGTCATCCCACACCAGTGACACTGCCACAGCTAACAGGGTGGGAGGGATGCTGGTGCCTGTATCCAGATCTGGATTTAAGCACTGCTCCTGGATTTGAGCTGGGCTCTTGGTGTGGGGATTAACAGCAGTAAACACATCCTGGTGGCTCAGCTCAGTTTTAGCTTAACCAATCCCATGCACATATGGGTAAGCATGAGGGTGGAAGAGTTGAATTTAGACCAGATGACTAGGGGATCATGCCAGCCATAGATTTGCCATAAGCAGATGCTAATGTTTCAGCCTGGGTTAGGGTTTTTTCCTGTTAGGGGGATCCTAAGGTCATTCTGGCACTTGGGCTGACCCACAGGTAGGCTCTGCCTTGACGGAGGGGGGTGCTGGAACCGTGCTTGGCATATGGCCTCAGCACAGAAAGGGCCAAACTTGCTTCAAACATTTCCATTATATTTTTTGGCGTCACTCCCTTGGACTCCCAGAAGCTCCAGCACTGGGAGCTGTAACAGATGGCACGGGGTCACTGGTCCCCCCTCCCTCTGGCTGGGTCACCCAGCTTGTGACAGTGGCAAAGTCACTGTCACCCAGCCAGGCCTCGCAGCAGGACTGAGTTGCTCAGCCGTGGTGGTGGCTGAATCCAGGCCGTGGTGTGAGAAGCAGATGCAGGACAGGCTCAGCCTCAGCGTCAGGGAGAGAACGGAGTGAGGGCTCGGGTTTGTCAGGGCAAAGGGTATTTTTGGTAGTGGTGGTTTGATCTCCCAGTTGGACCCATTTGGATCCAGGATGAGTGTGAAGTGACATTTGATGTGGGGGCCAACGGGGGCTGTGAGGGCAGCAGGACCCCCTCAGCCAGCACCGGGGCTGTGCCTCGTCACGCAGCACCATTTTAATTCAGTTTTCTTTTGGAAAGTAAATGCTATTGCTGATCATCCTTCAAGTGGGGAACGGACCTTCAGCTCAATGACGAGCAATGCACCATTGCAGCAGCGCTCATTTTTCTTGCTGCCAGGGGGACTCAAGTCATGAATCCCGATGGCTTTTTGGTGGCTCCTTGCCCACTGTTGTCTTGCCCAGCCTGCAGCTCCCTGCTGTGCTTTGGCCACCTGCCCTCTCCCTTGGCTAGTTTGCTCTCTAGCGTTGTCCTGCTGGGCCTGGCAGGTCAGCAAGCAGCTCTGTGGGGTGAGACATGGTTGACTGGCTTTTCAAGCCTCCTATGGGTCACCCCAAATTGCTGTTGCTATCAATTAACATGACTTGGAGGTGAAGACCCCGTGCTGCCCACTGGTGGGTGATGGTAGAAGTGGTCCCCTGGCCATGGGGCATTTGTGGGCTCTCATGGCATCCTTTGGGGCATCTCTCCCCAATGGGCTGTGGGTGATGCCACCTCTGCCCAGCCCTGCTTGGCTGCAGTTTCATCCTAAAATCATGCTCTACCACACGACCTGATGGGAAACCTCTCTGCTTCTCTTCTTTCTCTAGATGGATCTGTCTCACCGGTTTTCCAAGCAAGAGGTACAAGTGCGGCTCTGCCATGGTCTCCCTTGGTGGCACAGGAGGGGGTGGCAGTGCTGCTGGGGCTTGGGGACGTGGTCCCAGAGGTGGTGGCCAGGCAGGGCTGGATGCTGGGAAGCGGGTGACAGGGACAGGCAGGGATCTTGGGAGGCTGGCGGGAAGGGACACCCCACTAATCCCAGGGGATGCACGGAGCATGTCCCTGCTGGCCTGGTCCCACACAAGGTGTTGGTTGGTGGTCCCCCCGCAGCTGGCCCTGCTCTATGAGGAGGTCCTCTACACCATCTGGCACCGCCTGGGCAAGCCTGAGCACCACCATGTCGCGGACTCCCAGGAACTCTATGCCTATGTGCAAAAGGTGGGTCCCTACCTCCCCAGCGGGGTCCCCAAAACATGTCCCCTGATACGTCCACCCTCCTGGCTAAAGGAGATGAGGAACACTTGAAAGAATCTCTCAGCAAGCATCCTAAAAGACGTAGCAGCGGTATCCAGCTGGAGGGCTGGAACAGCTTGTGGCTGGGAAATATTAGCCTTAGGGGGAATTATTTATCTTAGGCTTGGGATGGTGGGAAGAAAGCTCTCCCTTGAGAGCTTTCAGCTGGTCCCCAGCCCTTCTGCTGGGCTCTGCTCTTCTCCTCTCCCCTCGAGCTGCAGCTGGCTCCTGGGAAGCAGAGGGAAGCCCCTGGCTGCTCTCCAGCCACTGCTAACAGGGCAGCATCTGTTACCGACCATGATATCTACAACAGGCGTTCGGCATGGATGCAGAGGAGCACAGCATCATCATGCAGCAGGTCAAGGAACTGGAGGTACGCAGCAAGATGGCATCTCCCCAGTATGCTACAGCTGAGGGGGGTCCCCATATTGGGATGGTGCTGGGGAGCTGTGGTGCCTCCAGCCCCCGTGTTGGGGTTTGGGGTATGGTGTGCTCCGGACTGTGCTGAGGGAGTTGCTCAGGAACTGTCTGCTGGCACAAGCAGCAGCTGATGATGCAATCCTTCTCAAGCCCCATCCTTCTGTGTGGGGTTGGTGACCCCACATTAAGAAATTTTTCTTTTGTTTCTTTTCTTACAGAGCCCAATATTTTGCCTGAAAGCAACCGTGAAGGAAGCCAAGGGGATTTTGGGTAAAGACGTCAGTGGTAAGTGGAGATGGGTGGGTGTCCCGGTCAGAGAAGGGACAGCTGCTGCTCCCGACAGTGACTTGCACGCCTCTGCCCTCGCAGGGTTCAGTGACCCGTACTGCCTGCTGGGCATCGAGACCAAGAGCCAGGACCCGGTCCACACCGACCACAAGAAGCGGATGAAGGCTGTAGTCAAAGACCTCATCCCCGAAGACCAGATCCATCGCACACAAGTCATAAGCCAGACCCTCAGCCCAGTGTGGGACGAGACATTTATCCTGTAATCTGCCACCCATTGGCTTTGCTCACTGGGGGCTGCAGGGGGTACCCAGGGCTCCTGGGGGGTGGATGGAGGGGTTCATTACTTGTCCCAACCAGGAGCTGGGGCTTTGCCGGGGCTACGCCCACTGGCGTTTACCAGACTTCTGGTCTACCTCATGCAGCAGGTCCAGGGAGGTGAAAAAATTCCTCCCTTGGGTCTCTCCCGCCATTTCCCCAGGTTGTGTGGGGTGGTTGGGGTCTCCCCAGGGAGGAGCCACCTGCCTGCAATGCCCAGCTGGCCTGCCTGCTTGCTGCTGGTCCCTTGGATGCTGCTCAAGTAACAGCATCCTGCTGGTGCCTTGCAGGGAGTTTGAAGATGTGGAGACGGCCAGCTTCCACCTGGACATGTGGTGAGCAGCGACACCCCCAGCCAGTGACCCCAATCCCTGGCCCTGAGCAGGGTCCTGCTTCCTGGGAGGGTCCCTGGGGTGATCCTTCAACCTGCACCCTTTAAAAAGCCCCAGAAACCAGCTGGGGACCCCTTTCCCCATCACTTTCTGCTGGAGCAGTGCACAGTGCAGGATGAGACCAGCATGAGCAGAGGCTTTGCCCAGGCAGGGCTGACCCTGAGCCCTGATTTTTATTTATGGAAAGAAGCCATGTGCTTGCAGATTTTGGTGGAACAGCCAATTTTGGGCATGATCTCAGTCCCGACACATTCTTCCCCCAGCACCTTCCCTTCTGTGCCGTCACTGCAGCTCCCTGAACACTTTTGCAATTTCCTGAATTTCCTTCTTTCCCCGGCGGTGGGTTTCACTACCCACCCTTGCAGGGACTCGGACATGGTGGAGTCAGTGCGGCACAAGCTGGGGGAGCTGACGGACCTCCATGGCCTCAAACGGTTGGTGTTGGCATGGCCCTGATGGCTGCCGAGAAAGTGGGTTTGGAAAATGCTTATTTGCCTGCTGGATTTTAAAAACTGCCTTTGGAAGGAGGGAGGGAGGACCTCAGGTCTGTGTCACCCTTCTTCGCCCCAGCTGCAGCTGGGTCATGGCTACAGGAAACTTTCTCACCCTCTCCTGCATTCATGCCTTTCAGGATCTTTAAAGATGCTCGCAAAGACAAAGGGCAGGATGATTTCCTGGGGAACGTGGTCCTTCGCCTGAAGGTGAGTGCCATGGTGCATCCTCTCCTCCAAGTGACTCCCCAGGTGCCAGTTAAACCTCGTGGGGTCTGAGCAGGATCCAGCCCCATGTCAGCACCAGGCTCACCCAGGATCCTGGCTCAGAGCTGCAAATTAATGCCAGCTCCTCCAGCGTGATGACAGGTGCCCTGGCCAGTCCAACATGTTTACTTGGTCGTTATATATCTTTTTTTCAATCAAATACTATAGTTACCCAAGACAGCATCTTTCTGCCCCGTTAATGCAGTGGGACCTGAGCAGGATCCCTCCCCAGGGAAGGCTGCCTGAGGCCTCACCCCATCTCTGCCTGTGTAGGATCTGCACTGCTGGGATGACCGGTGGTACCAGCTGGAGCCACGGACGGAGACGTACCCCAACCGGGGACAGTGTCACCTGCAGTTTCTGCTGACTCACAAGAAGGTAGGAGGGAACGGGGAAGGGGGTCCCTTTCCATTGCCCTGGCAGGAGGGGGCAGCTGCCTGTCCCTTGGGGCCTACCCTGAATCACAGATCCCTGTCCCAGGGCCAGAGGTGCCAGCACCAGGGTTTGCATGTGCTGGAAACCTGCTTGACTCTCCCCTGAGCTCCATGCCAGGACGGGGGGCCTTGCTCCTAGTGCTTCTGCACCCCTTGGCTTGGGTTCAGATAGGGCTCTCCAGCCCCATTCTTTTGGGGTTCCTGTGTCCCCGCTCTCTGACTGCATTCCCATGTGTTCGGGCAAATTATGGTTATTGCTTCTATGCCTTGTCTCTTTTCAGAGGGCCACCACGAGCAGCCGGACACAGCCGAGCTACACTGTCCATCGCCACCTCCTGCAGCAGCTGGTGTCCTATGAGATCCTTCAGCACCAGGTACCGAGGGGGAGAAGCCGTCCCCCTGCAGCTTGCGTAGGGTGAGGACTTCCGTTGGTGCCATGTGGTGGGGAGGAGGGTTATGATGATGCCCACCTGTGCCTGGCATCCTCGTGGGGCACCCATTCCTCTTGTGATCCTGCAAATACACCCCACCCCGGTGCCGGTCCCCCTCCTCGCTGAGCCCAGCTTACTCCAGGACACGTTACCCTCCTTTTGCATCCTCGCAGGCTGGCAGCATTTCCTGGGATGGGGAGCTGAGCCGACACGCCAGCACCGTGCTGTACCTGCACGCCACGCAGAAGGATCTCTCTGACTTCCACCAGGTCATGGCGTGAGTAGCCCATGCCCAGGGAGCCACGACGCAGCATTGGTGGAGGTCAAGGGTCCCGACACCTTCCCTGGGGCCATCTGACCGCAGCTGATCTCTCCCATGAGTTCAGTGTGGCTGGTATTGCCCCCTGCCCTGAGCACCACCAGCAGAGCCGGGTCCTCCCCCTGCAATCCCAGCTGTAGCTGTGGTGGGGGAAGCCCTGTGCTGGCTCTTGGGTGCCCCCCAGCCCCGGGGCATTCAGTAAAGCCTCTCCCTCCTCCCCAGGCAGTGGCTGGCGTACAGCAAGCTCTACCAGAGCCTTGAGTTCAACAGCAACTGCCTGCTCCACCAGATCACCAGTATCGAGTACCAGTGGGTGCAGGAGCGCCTGAGGCCAGAGCAGGTGAGAGGGCTCGGGTACCACATGGGGGGCAGAGATCAGGGAAACGTGCCCTGTGTACCCTACCCCGAGCCTCTCCTCCCATCTCCTTGGGCTGTTTCCCTCCCTGTGTTCCAGGAAGAGCAGGAGCTTATGGGGTACAGGGGTGCCAGGGCAGCTGGAGGGCATTTCTGGGGAGAACCAGACACAGAGACCAGGACAACCCATGGGTCAGGGAGCCCCTTTACCCTGAGGGTTTATTCCCTCTCTTCACAGAGAAACCCTTACCCTTTGCACCAGCATCCCCCTCCTCCATAGCTGCTATCAAGTCAATCATACCCCCTACGAAACTTAAATATGACCCCATTCCTAATTTCCCCACCTGTTTTCCGAAGGCCTCCCAGTACCATGCTGAGACTCCAGATTTTTAATGCATAGAAAAAAAGTTCAGACTCAAGCTCAGTTCAGCCCCTCCAGGGAGAAGTTACCCAAGGCATCAGAGGGCTTTTTCCATTCTTGGAGAAGGCTAGAAAGGAACAGGAGGCACCAGCTCCCTCCACCATGGTGCCACAGTCCTACCAGCATCTCTGTCCCCTGCTGAGGCTGACAGCACGTTTTCTTCCTTCTCCCTAGAAAGCAGAGCTGGCTGAGTCCTTCCAGTCCTTGCTGACTTATGGGATCTCCCTCGTCCGGAGGTACCGCATCATTTTCCCCCTCTCTGTCCCAAGGTCCACGGAGAGGCTCCAGTCCCTGCTCCGGTGAGTTGAGCACCGGTGTCAGCTGTGCACGGGGTATATGGCTGAGCAAAAACCTACCTGAGCCCTTTCTGCCCCCTTCTAGGCTGCTGTGACATTTGCCCTGGCCTGTCCCTCCTCCTGGTCTCCCCCTGGGGATGCTGTTGGGAGGGAAGCTCTGTTTGGGTAGCGTTTCTGTGGGGAGAGGTGGCTGTTTCTGATGGGCTGGTGCTGGTTTCACTCGAGGTTCTCGCTTTGCAGGGTTCTGGTCCAGATGTGCAAAATGAAAGCTTTCCATGAGCTGTGCGTGCTCAGCCCTGACCTCCCCCAGATGGTCTCCACAGCGCTGAAGGTAGTGGGGACCGGGGGTCTCACCTTCCTCAGCCCTGGGGAGGTGGGACCCTACGGCTCTCCCTTCCCATCCATCCCCTGCCCAGTGCCCACACCACAGCAAAGCCACACAGACCACCATGGCAGGGGGGAAAATAACCGACCCTCTTCAAGCTGGTGGCCCCAGCCTGTGGTTCCCACCACATGGAGCTGGATCCTGACCACACCCAGGGGACAGTGAGAATGAAGGGGGTGACAGGGTTGGCTTTACTCCTCCTGCTTCCCTGTCATCTCACCAGGAGTCCTCTCTTGCAGTCAGGCACGACGGAGTGGTTTCACATGGAGAAGCAGCACCTCAAGCCCATGGTGAAGGTCAGTTCCCATCTCTGCATCTCTGACATTATAAGAAGCAATTTCCTGGGCTTGGGGTGGGAGGCCCGAGGGCATGGGAAGATAAAATTGAGATGAGGCTTCTCCATTTTTTTGATGCAGTCAAGGCATTTGGGTTTTCAGCTTAGAAACACCATGAGCCATGTTACCTGCAGCCACTGAGGTGTGTTGAAGCTTAAGGCCTTGGTGCAGTGCTCAGGAGAACAGGAGGTGGCCCCCAGCCCAGCCATGTAAGCACAGGGTGACAGTGGATGTTACCAACAACTTCTTGGTGCTCCTAAAGCATATCTAATGATAGATTGCTACCCCACAATAACAAATATATAAAGTAGAAATAAATAGAAATAAAATGGATCAGAACAGAACCCAGGTCATCTCAGAATCACTGAGCATCCAAAACAAGCTGTTCCTTCCGTTGTAGAGCATGGAGGAGAATGGCAAAGCCTTGTCCAGACTCCTCCTAGAGGTGATAGGAGATCTCCAGCAGTGCCAGAAAATCTGGAATAAATTCTTCATCAGGTAGGTTTCAGAGCTTGATCTCTCCTCATGCACCTTCTCTAGGGTCACGAGCAGCAGGGCACTTTGATGTCTCGCTCCTTCTCTCTTGGGCTTCACAGACAGCACCTGTGGTCCCATCTCTGCCTCTTAGAGCTGTACTGTCCTTGCAGTAAGGGCATGGCCTGGGAGGCTTTGCTGGGCTGGGTTTGACAGGCTCCTGTCTCCACGTTTCTGTCTTGCAGCACCTTGAAGTTGAATCTCTTCTCCATCGCCTACCTGGAGCTGGAGAGCCTGGTGAGCAAGCTTCTGCTTCCCTGCACTCACAGGAGTAAGGTCTAAAACCACGCTGAGGTTTTTGGCCACCCTCTAGGTGGCGATTGGTTGTTGCAAGCCTGGAAAGGGAGCAAACCAGGGCAACTCTCCATCTTTCTTTGCATGCCCATGAAGTGACTACCATCTACTTACTTGGCCCAATGAATCTCCTGAAATGCCACCTAAAAGGAAGAGGAGTCCCCTGAGCTGACCCTTACCCCGTGGCTCCAGAGAGCCCCCAGCAGATCAAACTTTCCTGGCTGGACCCTCATTAACAGCCACCCTCCTTCTCTTGATCACTGCCAGGTTGCAGAGCATGTCCAGGAGCAGCTGCGTGAGGTCGACAGCAGCATGTCCAAGCCCACAGCTGAGAGCCTTTTCCAGCTCTACATGAACCTACAGGAGCTCTATCGGATGAAGAACTTCCTCCCAAAGAGGTATCTAACCCTGAAGCGAGGGAATGAGCAGTTAATTGAGAGGAACTCCAAATCCTTCCCATTCGCCTACATCACTACACACAAGACAGACAAGGCAGTTGGTGTCTGATGTCAATGTGAGCATCACCAGAAGGGTTTCAGGCTTGTCTCTGGGTGGGTTTGATGGAGATCTCAACTTCCAGACAAGGAGACATTTCTCCTTAGCACGGTGTTATGTGCGGACTCTGCCTCGGGGCAGTTTCTTGTATGTGAAAGCAAGGAGGGATGATGGTCCTGTGCTGTTGCTGTGCGGTTGGAGAAGCTGATGCCTTCATCCCCAGGGATGGACCTCTGGCTCTGAGCAATTTCCACCAGTGGTTCAAGGAAGCTGTGCCCCAGTGGCTGCAGAAGGCCTACACCATTGCGCTGGAGAGGGCACAGAGAGCCATCCAGATGGACCAGGTAACCCGGGGAGGAGAACATCTCTCTCTGCCCTTTGGGAACACTCCAGCTCCCTCCATGCTTTGCTGCTCTGCCTGGCTCACAGCACTGAGACCACCACGTAGGTGCCTCTTGCAGCCCAGGAGCAGGCTGGTTCCCCTCCCAAATCCCTCTCACAAAGGATGTGGTTTCCTGGACCAGTTGATCCCACCCTGGCTGCACACTGCATCCCCATGCCCCTTCCTTCTCTGCTCTCCAGCAGCCTGACAAGCTGATGAGCCTGCATTTGGCCATGCTATGCGCATCCCCTTCGCTTCCGACCTTTAGAAAGAGCGGAGGGGAGGCAGCCATGGGGCTATGGGCTCCTCACCCTGCTCTTCAGTGTGGTCCAACAATGCTGGGTTGGAGGATGGACAGCCTGATGCAGGTAGCTCAGTCTGCCTCATCTATCCTCAACTCTACTCCCCAAAGTGACCAAGTGATGACATTGGGATATATGGAGCTGATGATGGGCCACAGACCCCCAAAGACAGCTCTCCTGTCTGGGATCTCTTCTCTCCAGACAAGCTGAGTTGCATTTATTTCCTCTGCCCTCTCAGCTGACGCCCTTTGGAGAGCACAACAAGCACAGCACGTCCACTGTTGACCTGTCCACCTGCTACGCCCAAATCGTGAAGACCTGGCAGCAGCTCAACTGGCCAGACCCCGAGGAAGCCTTCATGATCATGGTGAAGCTCGTGGAGGTTTGTACACTGGGCCCTCACAGCAGATGCCATGCTCACAGGCATTCAGCAGCCAGAGTTTCCTCTCCTGCTCTTGGAGACGCGACTCCATGAATGGGGACAGTGCCCACACTATGTGGTGGGGTCCCTGGCACTGTGGTGGTCCCTGTGCTGCCCAGCTCAGTTCAGTTGTCTTCTCTATCCTGCAGGACATGTGCAAAATAGCCCTGATGTACTGCCGGCTCATCAAGGAGAGGGCTGAGGCTCTGTCGCTGAGCGAGCAGAACGAGGGTGAAGCAGCCAACAGGGTTGGTATCGGGACAGGGTCCACTGCTTAGGGAGAGGCAGAATTTGGCCATGGTTTTGGAGCAGAGAGGGAGAAGAGCACCCAGCCAACATTCTGGGTTTGGGTTTCATGGGGATCAGTTGGCCCCTAATAGCTGTACTCCTGGAAAATCAGGAGGGAAATGGTGTAAGCAGGGGATGGTGATGAGGATGAGGTTGAGGATGGGGATGGGATGGAGATGGGGTTGGAGTTGGGATGGGGATGAGGATGAGGATGGAGCCAGCAGGGGCTGTGGGACACCCTGAAGAAGACCCACCTCCCCCAGCTCTGCATCGTGGTGAACAACATCAAGCAGCTGCGGCTGTTGATCCTGAAGCTGCCATCACAGCTGGACTGGGTGCAGCTGGTGGAGCGCACAGAGGCCGTCATCGACCAGCAGCAGATCCAGCACACGCTGCATAACCAGCTCGACAGCGCTGTCTCCTGCCTAGACCATGAGGTCCGGGACGTGGTGCAAGCCCTGGCCACCAAGGTGACCACCTGCCACTGACCCCTCTTGCCTGGCCCAAAGTTTCATCTAAGGGGACCTGGAGCCCGTAATGTTCCTGGGATGGAGACAAGGTGAACCTGGGCATGAAGCTGGTGAAGAGGGCAATGTCTAAGTGTCTCCATGCATTCTCCCCAACAGCTGGAAAAAGGCATTGCCAGACACATCCAGGAGCTCTCATCTTCCAATGATACCCGGGAGCCTGAGGACGTAAGTACCTGGCCCAGCCCCTCCTGGACCATCTTTTTCAGGAAGCCATGAATAACCCTTGCCTACTTGGTGGAGGCTCCCATCACCCTTCCTCACCTCTCCCTACCCCACACCACTGATGGGGCCCAGACCTTCATATGCTTCATTTGGTGCCTGTGTCGGCAGCAGGACCAGACCAGGCACAGCCTGTCCATGTCCTCACTGTGGGAAGGAACTCATCTGAACTGTCCCCTCTGCCCTGCTGGCTCCAGCCAACAGTTCTCTGCTCCTCTCCTCACTGTGCCTTCCCCAATGCCTCTCTTCTCTCACTGCAGTCCATCATCCCACTCATGAAGTTCCTGGAGTCGGAGCTGCAGTATCTCAATGAGCATCTGGTCCAGGAAAACTTCAAAAGGTGACCAGGGCACTGAGGATGCACCATGGCAGATGCCAGCAGCATCACTGGCCCTCAGCAGGAGTGTTCCCCCAGCCCCACCGGGCTCAAGGACATCCCACTTTGGGGCTGGCTGCTCAGCCCAGCGGGATGAGCCGGTGGACTCTGGGGCTTTGCAAAGCCCCTAGGCTGAGGACCACATCCCCCAGCCCACTTCCCTGGACCCCCGCTCACAACCTTCATCTGTTGCCCCTGCAGCCTCCTCACTCTCCTCTGGCATCACACCTTGTCTGTGCTGTCGGCGGCCGCGGGGCAGCAGGTCCCCTCAACCCAGTGCTACAAGAAGCTGCACTGTGCCCTGAAGGTACCAGGGGGGGTAGGGGGTCCCTGGGGACAGGGGCGGGTGTTTGGATGCCAGCTAACAGCATCCTTCTCCCCAGAGCCTGGAGCTGTGCTTCTACGCTGAGGGCTGCGGGCTGCCACTGGAGACCCTCCACGCTGCAGCCTTCCTGGTATAGGGGGATGGAGATTGGGGGGTCCCCAAGGGTTTCCTTTGGGTGCTTTCCAGGGAGGGCATCCCCAGGCTGCAGACCCATCCCTGTGCTTGACTGTCACTTCTCATCCTCCCTGCAGTCACTGGAGAGCCACCTAGCCCTCTGCTCCTCCACCAGCCGCAAACTCATCCAGAAATACTTCAGCAACAGGATCCAGCAGCAGGTAGGAGTCAGTATAGTGCCCTCAGACCCTGCCCACATCCCATCCTTGCACATTCGAGGCTGCCTGGCCCAGCCTGCCAGTGGAAACATGGGATTTCCCCACCATCCTCCCAGTCCTGGGGCTGTTGGGGCTGGTTTTGCCTCAGCAGTGGGTTCAGTTGCATCCCAGAGGATGCTCATCACCCATCTGGTACCTAAAAATTCCTGCTCAGCCTCCAGCAAACCCCAGGCATCCCCTCCACGAGTATGCCAAAAGGCAGCACCCTTATTCTTGTTCCCCACTGCTCAGCTGGACACCAGCTCAGAGAAGTACGGGGCCGTGACAATCAAAGCGCTGTATCGCCCTTCGGAGCAGAAACTCCGAGTGGAAGTGCTCAACGCTGTCAACCTCATCCCGCTGGACTCCAACGGTGGGTGTGGGTGGGCTGGGGAGCCACCACCCCGGGACCCCTGTCCTCAGTCCCCGGTATGCCCCTGGGTAGGCGATGCTGGCAGTGCTTGGTGTAACAGGACTCTGTCTTGATTCACTTTTGCATCCAAGGAGGTGGAACTGGGGAAGACATGGGGTTATTGCATTGGTCCAGCGTGGTCCAGTGGGATGTGGCAGGCAGGACCAGGCAGGACACTGTGCCCACATCCCACTGGCCTTCAGTCTGCAGCACAAGCCAGCAGCTAGGCAGGCAGCTTTTTTCCATCATGCAAACCATGTCTCGGACAAACAAAATATGCCAGGGTGGCAGGGGACAGTCTCTCGTGTTGGCTGTTATTTGGGGAGCTCTCCAGGAGAGGTCACTCCTCTTGCAGCCACCCGCGGCCGATCGATGTGTGGGCAGGGTTGGGGATGTTCCCGCACCCTCCCAAGAGAGTGGACTGGGCTGGGGGTGGTGGTGAGGGTGCTCTGACCCCCCCTCAGCCACCCCAATGTGTCCGTCCACCCTGGCTGCGCTCGGCCAGCTGTGCTGGGGCGGAGGGGGCGGCGGGAGGGGGCTGACATCTGCACCCCGCCAGGCTCGAGCGACCCCTTTGTCCAGCTCACCCTGGAGCCCCGGCACCAGTTCCCCGAGGTGGTGGCCCGGACTACTCAGTGCAAGAGGAACGAGCTGCACCCCCTCTTCGACGAAGCCTTTGACTTGTATGTAGTGGCTGACACCCACATGCCCCCCCGTCCCAATCCCCACAGCCCCCCATGCTTCAGCTGACCCCCTGCTGTGGGGCTGCTGCTTCAGGAACTGGGTCCTGCCCTGGGATTTCACCCCCTGCACTCCACTGGGGGCTCAGTTGTGGGGTCCCACGGTGGCAGCTGGGGTAGGGGCACCCCAAACACTGGGGTCCTATAGGCTGGGGGGGGGGCTGTGCTGGGGCCCTGTGCTTTGAAGGGGTTGGGGTCAGTGCGGTGGGGGTGGGGGTTAGCTTCCCACTCTGGGGAAGCCCGTTTGGTCCCTGGAGGGAAGGTTGAATTTTGGGACCGGGTGGGACATGACCATCCCCTGCATCCTGTCCCCCTGCAGTTTGATCCCCCCCGAGAAGTGCCGGCAGGAGGGGGCCTGCCTGCTGCTGACCGTGTTTGACTACGACACGCTGGGGGCCAACGACCTGGAGGGCGAAGCCTTCTTCCCCCTCTGCCACCTGCCCGGCCTTGATGCCGATGAGGACCAGGCTGACACAGGACGGGTGCCCCAGACCCGCCTGCCCCTCACCCACCCCAAACCCAGTGGTACGTGGGGCTGAGCGGGGCTGAGCTCTGCCGAGCCCCCGCCAGCCCCATGGTGTGGGGAGGGGGCTGTGATGAGCATCTCCCACCATCACTCCCCTCCTCTCTGGCAGGAGACGAGATCCTCCGGCTGCTGGAGTCCAGGAAAGGGGACAAAGAGGCTCAGGCCTTTGTTAAGCTCCGCAAGCAACGAGCCAAGCAATCCAAGGAGAGAGAGTGAGGGAGGTGGAGGAAGAGGGTCCCAAAATGAGGGTGTTCAGCCAGTGGGACCCCAGCAGTTTTGCCAGTGCTGGAGCCATCGCCATCCACAAGGGCCAGGAGGACAGAGGGGGGGGTCCCTGTGTCCCCCCCCCCCTCCCAGCACCCATCTCACCCCCA